AATTTTGAAATTCTCTACTTATATATACAGAGTCTTATGAAGTAGCTTCAACAGCATTATGGCATAATAAACATGTAACATTTTTATTGTTATCACAGAAGCTGTATGCTATTTGGTTTACTAAGAATAAATACTGTGTGGTATAATGGCCAAAACCACTATGCAAACCCTGGGTTGTGACACAGGGTTGAAATGAACTTCTAACTCAAGTTTTAACAATAAAATGAATTTTAATAAGATGAAAACTTAACAGTTGCATATCTTGACAGTATGGGTCTTGGATAAATTTAGTCCCGTAATTTCAGAATTTTGTTTCAGTAAAAATGCTCTAATGCATTATACACGAGGAATGATCGTTCTTCGCAGGCCAACATGCCCATAGCTCTAAACAGAAAAGTTTTTTTAATGCATTATACACGAGGAATGATCGTTCTTAGCAGGCTAACATGTCCATAGCTCTAAACAGGAAAGACTGTTCCCTCTTCTCAGGAAACCACTTTATATATCTCCCTCTGTTTACTTGCGCTGAACTCCCAAGGGGGAAAGATTCTTTCACTTGTACATAACAAAGTGTCCATCTCCTGACCCTGATGAAAAGACTCTTTGTCTCTTTGTCCACTGGAGCGACCTTCGAGGCTGCAACCGGAATCATTAACAAAGGCACAGGATTACATCCCAGATATGAAACTATTGCACTCTGAAAACTCATCCTAGACAAAGAACCTTTATGCCACCTTATCACAAATGGTTTGGACAAATATGAAATGAAATTTATATCCACACGTTTGCTGATGGATTCTAATTCAATTGTAATTTTCATATTCACCATATTTTCTTGACATTGTGAGGAAATTTCAGTATCTCCTAACATTAAATCCAGCTGACATGCAGTTATTTAAATCCAACATAAAAATACAGGATGTATTATATGGCATAGTGTGTGCTGCATTGTGAATATAGGTAACAAATGTAAGCCCCATATTAAGTTTTTTACAACATTCAATATGCTACATAATAATCAACTTAATATTCAAGAAATTAAAATTTAATTCATTAAGTAAATTTTAAAATTACACATGTCCAATTAGATTTATTTAAATTAACTAATGCAAGAGAAATATGAATTAAATTACATAACATATAAAAAAAGAGAAAATGAAATCTTAGCAGTAGAAATACAACCAGTATTTGTATATTTCCAAAATTTACTTGCATATATATAGCAGTAGATATAGTGTAACTATACCAGTAGAGTAAATCACATAGTGTGTATCATAACTGACAAGTTATTATACTCACTCACTTTACAGATTCAACACTCATACTAATAAAAGAAATTCCACCCATGCTAAACTTTTCTAAAACAATTTAAATGCTGCTAAAGGTAAAAGAAATGATTATTCTTTTTTTCTGAAAATGAAACACTAAATACTTTATACATGTTAACTAAAATAGCATATAAAAAACAAACATTGGAGATATTGAAGCAAGAGGAAGCTGCTTAAATTTGCAGAATTAGTCTTGAAGGTTATTGAAGCAAAAGTAAGCTGCTTAAATTTGCAGAATTAGTCTTGAAGGTTTGAATAAAATCTTATTCTTCAGCTGTAGGAGTGAAAAAGACGAAGCCTGTACTCATATTATAGCAATAGATCAGCAAATTCGAGAATGCTCTAATTAAGGAAAGAAACGATGCTACTGGCGTGATCTATTGACAAAAAGTGAAAAACAACTGTGAAATAATTTTTTTTTAAGCTGAAGGTAAAAACAGATTAGAATTGGGATCATTAACTAAAACTAGAAGATTTTTATGAATGTGGAATGCCAATAGAATTTTTTTGAATAGTTTTGGCTGCAGAAAAATGGAAGATAAACTTTTTTGACCAACTGTGCTAATCAATAGAAGGTTTATGTGTTTCTTAAGATATGCCTCATACTCCTTAGAGTGAACTTTCATGTATTTTATGGAGTTTAACATTTGCATTGTATTTTTTCCTCCTATCAATAAAATTTATAGTTTCAATCTTAAAGACCCATTCCAGATGAACTCCTGAACGATATACAGCATTCCATGACAGTGTGATTTCATATATATTGGACAAAATAAGAATGTAAGATCTAGTTTTCTTTGCTAACATAAACTGCTACTAGACCTACTTAAAAGTCTATTTTATGACTTCTTGCTAAGACTAGAAGATGAATAAAACACAGGAAGGGTGTAAAAGACCCTTTTATTGAGCTCAATTGTTTACACACAGCAGTCTTGCATGCTTACAACTTCAGCATCCACTTGTGGTGAGAAACTTAATCGTAACCAACTAAATTTAAGAGCTAAGCTAGTAGTTCAACACTAGCCAAATTAATTTAACCTAGCAGGTTTACTCAGAAACCTACAGTGGAGTGATACTAAATTCGGAGGCAAGAATGTAGAGCCAAGATCCAAATTTCAAATAGCAAGTAGAAATAACAAGCGCACTCAATAGCAAAAGCATGCTCTGACTGACCTCTTGCAACATCAGTTTAAATACACTCTTGTTCACTCATGTATTCTCCACACACACACACACACTCAAAAAAAAGGGGGGGAGGACAGTTCTACATGTCTCTTTCTACTGGACCGATTAATGAAATTCAAATTGCATTTTTAATATATATCTTAGAATATATATTAGAATTATATATAGCATTATTCTAACATAGGTATTTTGACACAAAAGGGGACTTTTTCTGAAATAATATAATAAATTTTTTCCATACTTCGATTCTACGACTCAAATTATGACTAGATATTAAATTGTGTAATTTTTGGTGAGAAATTTAAATATTTATCTTGCCCATTTTTTTCAGTCGCGCCAAGAATAATTCACTTGGCGGAATTCTTAATTTAGAGTAACCTACTTACTTTCCTTTTTTCCATTGATGGAGGAGAGGATAAAAGATCCATCGTTCATTCCTTCAAATACTGTTAACCAAGTGCGTAAACTGGATTTTCGTTATTAGCGCTTATATTAAATACGCCAAATTTCAAAACGCACCAAAATGTAAATTCACTTATATCTTAGGAAATTTTAAATTAAAAAACTCTTCATTTTTTGCAGGTATGCTTAGAAATACATCTACTTTAAGATGATGGTAAAAACTTTACAGGTTATAATAAAAAAAAAATTTCAAAAAATTTATAAAATTTTTTTTAAATACAAATTTTAAAAATAAATCATAAAAAATGTGCAAGTTATATTTGGAATGAGTTTAAATTTCGAATTCTGGAAGGAATTATATTTAATTAAAAAGAGAGATTAATAAATATATCAAATTCAATTAACATTGAGGAGCTAATATTTTGAGAGTTAATTCTTTAAAAACTACTCTTGCGATTTTTACAAAACTCGGCACTTTGGCATAATTTGAGTGGCAGAATTGAAATATGGAAAAATATTGGCATGCTATTTCAGAAAAAGTCCGATTTTGTGTCAAAATACCTATATTAGAAAAATGCTATATATATAAATCTAATATATATCCTAAGTCGCACTTTCAAAACATAAAAAATGCAAGTGGAATTTCGCCAATTGGCCCAGTAGAACAGGAGATATCGAACTGTCCAGCCCCCCCCTTTTTTTTGCGCAGTGTACATCCTGGTGAGGAAATACAAGGGAAACAAGGAGTAACAGAAAAGGCTAACAAATTAAAATAACTATTGGTAAAAACCATATAAATCTTAATAAGAGTGTCTTGAAATTTAACACTAAGGAACATGAAGCATAGGCTAAGAAAAAAGAAATATACAAATCCTCTATTGATTTAGGAAAAAAAAAAAAAAAAAAAAAAAAAAACACTTTCCAGTCTTCTGCAGCAAAAAATATTTTTAAAAAACCTTCTGTTGGGGAATCAGAATTTCTAGCACCATTCCACATTCATAAATATCTTCCAGTTTTAGTTCTAAAGAAGCAGCTATTAATCCATATTTACCTTCAGCTTTTAAAGAAATTTTTTAATAGTTGCTTTCACTTTTTATCAATAAATGGTGTCAGTAGCTTTGTTTTTTTTCTTAACCAAAATCTTGAATTTTATAGTCTATTATTATATAGTGAGCACATGTTTCCTCTTCATCACTTTTACTCCTGTAGCAGAAAACATTTTTATTTTAATCTTTGAAACTAGCCCTGCAAAGTTATACAACTTGTGTTGAATCTTGTTGCTTCAGTATCTCCAAAACTTATAGATATATCAAAACTCTTATTAAATCAAATTAATAGCATAGATTCCATATATCTAAAAGAGGTATTAGAATTTGATTTACAAAATGATGGCAACTTCAGAAGGAACTCACAAAAGAGAATTATTACACAGGTCATCAAAATAAAATGATGGATTTAAAAACATATTTAAATATTAAATTTCAAAGAAATATTCCAAGTTTTCTTCATACCTCTATAGGTTTTTGATGTCTCGTCAATCTGTCACATGTCATTAAAAACCTACACCTTGACCTTGAACCAAGTCTGCTGAGTTATGGAGGGAACAGTTGTGATGGATGTAGCAGTCCTCTCTATGATCAGATCACAAATCATTTGTTATTTCTGTTTTACCCCTTTGGACGTATTCTGCGGGAATGATGCTCATGTCCTAATCCCGCAACATACGTACAACAGGGTTAAACAGCATTCTCTTAAACATTGCATTGCTCCACAGCCCATGCAACAGATACTGAGGCTTTTCTGTACCACTGGAAAATTAGGGTTGTCTATCCACCTTGATTCAGATACTAAAGACTTTGATATTCACCAATAGTTAGTTACTTTGTTTCATCATATTTTAACACTTAATTCATTTGATGTTAATATGCTTTTATAAACCAAGCATTCTTTTTATTGACTCTGGTTTCAAATAGAAATTTAACAGAATAAGAAAATAATTCAGTTTTCAGAAATTACTTCACAAGCTTTTCAGGCAATCATTATCAAAAATGTGTTTGTATATTATAAATAAGTCTAAAACAAAAATATATTAAAATCAACTTTAATACTTCATATTTAAATTACATATTTATAAAAAGGGATATTTTTTGAGATCACAGACATAAAAATGTAGTACAATTGTAGCTGCAAAGTATGCTTGCAGTTTTGATTTTTTTTACACATGCACAGGTAGGCAGAAGTAATAGTACCTCTTTACATGAACTTACAGTCAACTTCAAATCTTTTATTACAGGATCAAAATTGTAGATTTCTTACAGATAATACTGAGCATTTAACAATTAAGTATGTCATGATATTATATGAAAAAATGTTCAAAAATGCCCATCTTGTTTGACTATACTACTTAAAAATAGTGTATTACCTCTGCTGAATTTTGTAAAACAAGATTCCTCAAACAATGATACATTACATTATTTTTGATGATACAATTTTTCCCTAATTCCATTTAAAATGCATTGATTTTTAATTGGAAAAATGCTTTCATGATAATAAATATATTTTTTATCCTTATTTATGTGGTATATAATTAAAAAAGTTTCAAAACCCCTGCTACCTAACATGAGAACATTTTGATATAGTCATAGAAAAATGATTGTTGGGTGCTTGGATATAAAATAATCAATACTGGAAAACAATTTTATTGCATTGTTTTTAAAAGTATTTAATTAGTTATGTGACCTAAATGCTTCACAAATTATGTACTTTTTAAACTTAGAAAAACTTATTTATATTTTGCTTATTTCAAAAGTACCATATATGTTCCTGAATTTTTAAAGTAGTATATAAATATAAATATTTAAGTAAATTACAACACAGTATCATCAGTATATTATTCTAGAAAAAAATTTTATATGAATTTAAAATTTATATTTTGCAAATTAATTTCTACAATAAATATACAGCATGAGATTTGACTAGATATTAGTACATCATTTTAATGTAATATATTTTTCAAAGTTAAAAGAGAGCATATTTTTTAAATCAAATAATTCAATTCTACTTTGTCTTAAATTTGAAATAAAGTTCTTAGGAACAGTTTACTCATACATAACATATAAACAAAAATTGTGGAAAAAAAATTAATTGTGACCTATCTTAAATATAATAGTGGCGTTTTCATAACATAATGCAAATCATATGAAATCTGATAAAATCTTCATCATAAAGAAAAATATTCAGCAAATAAATAAAGTAATACACTACACACATAAAAATTAATATATAACAGGTTAAAAAAGTTGCAACATATCTAACAAATACAACCTATAAGCTTTTTAAGTTTTTGCTAAATGACTAAAGCATGAAAACTAATTTTTCAAACAACCTACTTAGCAGTATATGTAAAAAGGGGGAAAAAATAGTCACACTTAACATCATAATAAGTATATAACTTTTTTCTGTTACAAGAGCCTAATATTTATTTGATATGGAATATAAAAGGAAAATCACATTAAAATATGCAGAGATAATTTAAAATATTTTTTCTACTTTAATATATACATATATATGTATCTATCTATAATTTATTCATTAGTAAATGGTATATTTCACAAGAAAATAAAATTATGATGACAGAATTATATGAATTATTTTTAAAAATAATTTTACATTTTTTAAATATGAAAAATATTATTCTTTGGTTCCTAAAAAATCTCTTTTCATAGTATTAGCTAGTGTGGCTCTCTCCTTTTAAGAGTAATTTGACAGGACTAGGAGTGCCACGATAAATAAGTACTTGAAGTAATATTAAAAAATCAATAAACACTTGGAGTATACCGCACATCCAAAACTGAACAGGAGCTTCTCGGACAACAAAGTACACAGTCTTGAAAATATCACCAAAAGTCCAGAGAAAAACCATTTTTTTGCTAATATCAAAAATAAAGAAATATAAATTTTTTGTACTTCTTATGCATAATTTCTTTATATAAATATTAATTTTTAAAAGTACTAATATTATAAATTATTGTGAGAGAAAATGTGACTAATTTTTTCCATTATGGAAAACAGACACTAAACTGTTCTTAGCACTAGGCCAAATTATTTCTCATGTCAGGCAGAAGCATATGTGGCCTTGACAAAATCTTTAGTTATATGATATAGTAATTCATAAAATATTCTTATAATAAAGTACGGTTATTTTTAATATTCACTTTAACATCAATGGCTTATAGCTAATGGTAAATTTATATTAAATTGTCCATTATGCCACATTTTTCAAGGCTATTATTTGCCACTTACTGTGTCCCAATTTTTTTGTGTTCAATCATATCCATTCAAAAGCATTTTATAGTGTACTGATAAAAAAATTAAAGGACTGCTTGTTTTGTTGAAGATATCAGTAATTTACAAAAATTGCACTCATAATAAACAACAGCTTTTTTTTAATTTCTAGTTTGGAAATTTCAGAATTATTTTATCTCATTTTTAATAACTTAGGGTTATTAGAGCTTTCCTGAAATAAATTCATAAATGGTATGATTTTTTTAATGCTACAAAACTAATCTATAAATGCTATGAAAAATTTTAAACTAAGGTAAAATTTCATTAAAAGCGCTTAATAGTTAATAGTATGTTCTAGTTTAAATGTTACAGTCAAATCCCGAAAATCCGTCGACCTGAAATCCGCGTTGCCTCTCAAAATATAAATATTCAGTTTATAGGTTCTGGAAACCGCAACACTGAGTACGAAATATTGAAGAAAAAATACTTACCGAATAATGACGTCATAATTACCAAGTAATAATGAGTCATAATGAAAATACCAAATTATTGACATCATGATAAAAGTTTTTCCCCTCTAACCTGCATCGAGGTAAAAAAGCAGACAATCCACTCAGCTCTTCTTTCAAGTTCACGATTCCCATTGTTGTAATTTCTGAGCTTTTTTATTTCATGAGATTATTTAGTGCTGCTTTTTTTTTTATCCGGATATTTTGTAGATAAATTAAGAATATTTTAAATTTCAGCCCTTTTTAATACAATTACAGATTAGATATGCACTCATGATTTTACTGCTTGCAACATTGAAAAACGTAAACATGTTGCATTGACGGTAATGTGAAAAGTGCAAATTCTGCAAAAGATGGAGACAGGTGCTACTCCTCGGTTTATAGCAGAATCTTATAGAATTGTGATACGATTGTGTATGATATACGGAAAAATAAAGAAAAGCTGTTGAAATTTTACAGCAACAGTGATTCTAACACCGGAATCCGAAAGCAGAAATCTTTGCATGAGGCGAAATCGGCAAACCTTGATGCCGTGTATATATAATATAATGAATAATATAATCAATTTATATATGTAATAATAATTTAATGCTTATAATAAGTTATTGCAATAATGTATATAATAATTTAATTAAATGTATCCAATACACCTTATTTATTTTGCACTTTTAGTCTGAATATTACGATTTAACTTTTCTGTCCTAAAATCCGCACAACCTCTGGTCCCAAGCTTTGATGATTTCTGGAATTCTACTGTACTAATTACATTGAAGTATGAAAAACTGCTTTTTTAAATAGCTTGACCTTTTTTTTTATTATTATTTTGTAAAATTTTCAGATTTATTAAAAATGTTTATTTTCTATTGTTATTTTCATTACACTACAGCTTAAATTAAATCTTCAAAATGGCAAACCATAACTTTTGAAATTATTTGCATTTTAAAAACATGCACAAAACCCATTTATCCTTTCATGTAAAATCATTCAATTTCAGTCAGTATCCTTGATATTGTATTATTAGTCATTAGATATTGTCTATGTAGTTGTAATAGCATATTAAAAGTGTCTATTGGCTATTAAATACTTTTAATATACCAACACAACACTATGAAATACAAGAGTTATCAGTGTCATGTTTAGTATATGAACAGCTATGGTACAGGGTAATTAAAACAAATAGCTATGGTACAAGCATAGGTAAACGACTAAAATTACAATTTTGTTTTAACTAAAAAAACATAAAAAATTAATCTGCTGTACAGGCTATGGATAACCTAAGCTGTACTAGGTTGATCACAGGCCAGATATCTTTAATAGATGAGAGATCCAGTAAACATACTAAAAGCCCGTCTACACGAAGCGATTTTCTCGGCCGACTTTCTCGTAGAGCAACAATTTTAAGGATCTTCGATCATGTTCTCTGCCGCGATTTCAGAACTGGTGTTCACTGCTCACTAGCGTACAATAAAATTGGAGTCTCTAGCCAATAAGATTGCTTTGAGTGATCACGTGCTTTTCTCCTCATTTGGAATAATAAACATGGCTGCATTTCGTTAGAGCGAAACTCAACTAACAGAATTCTATAGAGAAAATGTTGTGTTGTGGAACACGAGTAATGTAAATTTTAAAAATAAAAAATTAAAGGATTCTCTTATTTTGATAAGATTTGTCTTCCCCATTACTTTATATATTCAATATATTTCTAACTAACTCGGGGTGAAAATTATTTTAACTCCCCCCAAGAAAAGTTGCCAAAAACTATTAATGATGCCATGTCAATGGGTACTAGATGAAAATATTCAGGAACTACTTGAAACTGTGGTCGCACTTATTGAAAAAATTCAAAAAGCAAAATCTCCATTCGAGAATAAAGCAGCACAAAGACTCAATTGACTTTGCCGAAAATGTGAGTTAATCAGGTGCCGAAGTACTACATAGCTTTTGCGACAGCTCCTACACGAGCTATCATAGCCTAACGTTAAAGAGTAGACTAGGTTTTTTTCCGTACGTCAAGATCATGGGTTCGATCCCCCACCTTAATTTTGGACTTTCTGCGCCTGGAAAAACTTTTTAATTTAGTTTCTCCATCACTAAATTCGAACTGCATGACTTAAAAGTCATGTTTTATTTTTTCACCTATGGGTGGGGGTGTTTATTGAATTTTAACGTCTTTCTTTTTATTCTTCGAATGGCCGTTGGCATGTGTTTTAGATCTACTGGTCAAAAGTCACAAACTCAGTTTTGTGTTAATTGAATTTTGTGAAAGCAAATTACAGCCCAATTTAATTCAATATTGATTGCTAAATTTTATTCGCTGATTAACTGATAGAGTCATATAATCATAGTTTTCAGACTGTATTAGTTATTTAATTATGCTGATATTAGTTTTTTAATGTTCAATAAATATACTACTTAAGACTTTGAACTTTTATGATACTTCTTATTTAAAATTTTTGCACTGAAATTACACTGTTGCTTTGTAATGTAGTAATCTTTATTCTTTATTAATACTTTTTACTCATATTGGTTTGATATTCATGATATTATTGTCTATTTATTCATTAATAAAGGTTTTGATTTAAAGCACAGTACTTACTTATTTTTTCTGAAACATGGTTATTTTAAATGCATAAATAGGAGTGCCCAAAAGTGAAATTTAAAAATAAATAAACTAAAAAAGGAGTAATCTGTGTACTCAGTACACACAAAAAAAGCTTTTTTATTATTATTATTTTCCTGCGACTAAATTTAGCAAAAAATCAAAATCACGCGGCATCATCCGTAAATACTTTCCGAATGGTACTGTGTCTTCAATACGCAACTTCCGGAGCAGGGAATTATGAAGGCACTATGAATTTCTCGTTGTTTGACCCGATTTCTGGTCCAAACGCATTTTTTCCCCTTCTGTAGCAGTAGCTAAGTTCAAAATTGTAGCAGTATCTATAGTAGCAATTTAAAATAGTCACCCATTATTTTGACTATTTGACAACACCGTAAGCTCTGTTTACAAATCGTAGACAGTGTGATGCTGTAGAGGGCGGGAACACTTCCTTTCATAATGATTGGCTGAATGAATTCCTGTACTAACAAGAAAATCGTTCCATGTGGACAGGCGAGCTATCTCAGATATTGTCAGCCAGATAAGTAGGCCAAGAAAATTGCTACATGTAGACGGGCCTTAAGAAACAGATGATGCGTCCCTCCTCCCCAAGAATTGTTTAATGTTACATGTGCAATCACTCATTGTCAATTATAACTGGCCCCAGCTGGACCTCAAGATAACTTCCTTTACATTTTCTTTATTGTGGTACCATTAGACATGAATACAAATACCAAGTGCTACAGACAAATAGTTGAAAATATGATAATGTGCTGTTTGCTCTTCTACCCCATCTGCAACATTTCAGACACTAACACAGCTGCAAATACCTGTATTGCATAATAACCAAAGACAGAGTACCTTGCTTAAAACTTCCTGATACAACATACAAAATTTAAATGCATATGTGAAGACAGATTGCTGTGCATTACACTCTAATTCTCATTAAGATTGTTGGCCATATCATGCATATGATAAGGCAGGTACGCTGCACGAAAAAAAAGGGACAGTTCTATATCTACCATTCTATTGGGCCGATTGACGAAATTCAAATTGCATTTTTCATGTCTCGAAAGCACAACTCAGGATATATATTAGATTTATATATAGCACTGTTCTAACATAGATATTCCGACACAAAAATCGGACTTTTTTCTAAAATAACATTTTTTCCCATATTTTGATTCTATGATTCAGATTATGCCTAGATGTTAAATTTTGTAAAATTTGGTGTGAAATTTAGGGAGAAACTCAAAAATTTATCTGTCACATATCTTTCAGTTTGCACCAAGAATAATTCACTTGGCAAACTTAATATATGGCAACCTATTTTCCTTTGCCTTTTTACTTTGTGCATGACAGAAAAAAATTCACATCTTTCCTACTTTCAAATAATTTTAACAATGTGCCTAAACCACATTTGATGTTACTATAGCTTTCAAGAAATTTGTCAAATTTCAAAATGCACCAATATATAAATTAACATATATCTTCGGAAATTTTGAATAAAAATCTGTAATTTTTTGCAGGTATGCTTAGAAATACATCTACTTTAAGGAGATGGTACAAATTTCATAGATTATAATTCAAATTTTTTTTGGAAAATTTATATAAATTATTTAAAAATACAAATTTTAAAAATTAATCATAAAAAATGGGTGAATTTTATTTGGAATGAACCTGAATTTTGAAATGCAAAAGGAAGAATTAAGAAAGTTTAATAAAAAAAAGAGAGTTTAATAAATATATACCAAACTCAGTTGACATTAAGGAGCCAAAAGTTTGAGAGCTAATTCTTTAAAAACTACTCTTGCAACTTTTACAAAACTTAGCACTTTGGCATAGTTTGAGTCGTAGAATCAAAATACGGAAAAATATTGGCATGTCATTTCAGAAAATGTCTGATTTTGTGTCAAAATACCTATATTAGAAAAATGCTATATATAAATCTAATATATATCCTAAGTCGCACTTCCGAGACATGAAAAACGCAAGTTGAATTTTGTCTATCGGCCTAATAGTACGGGAGATGTAGTAGTATATCTCCTGTACACCCCCCCTTTTTTTTTTTGGCGTAGTGTACATAAAGATGTCCTCTTAGGAAATGTTTTTATACTTCATATTATAGGGATTTCATGTTCTTTTCAGGAGCATTCACAGTAGACCCCTATGTAAAAAGACTTTGTAACGAATTCTCGCCATGCCTTTGAAGAACAGATATTGCAGAAGTAAACCTTTTTATTTGAACATTTTTTTTAAATTTTTTCTTAACCCTTTTATTTGAACATTTTTTTAAAATTTTTTCTTAACTCTTTTATTTGAACTAAACAAAGGTTGCACTCTCTTGGTGTTCACAATTACCATCACTTGTGGCTAAATAACTTGAACAGAAAATAAAAATGTAAAATCACAATAAATTAAGATGGCTAAATAACTGGCTCCTTATTTCTAGAATATCAATATAATCTGAAGAGGATGGCTAACACCAACTATACAGCTATTTCAAAACATGCAGCATGAAATTGGAACTAAATCTGCTACTACTCCTCACGAACTCTTAAAACCACTGCTTAAGTACTGATTCTGGACTCACTTAGATTTGGATACTACGTCATTAAAATTTACATTTTGGCAGGAAACTGAAATCAGAAGGGAAGGGAATGATTCTCAACTTAAAATAATTGGTTAGAATAAAATAAGCTCTTTACAAAATCAGCTAGTTTATCGCTTCCTGACTCACGGAATTCAATATTCGTAATTTTTATAAATGAAAAATAAAATTCAAAATATTTTTACAATTAACATATTTTTCAGCAGATGGGAATTAAATAGTATCAATAAGATAAATATAAATAAATATATAAATTTAATTTCTGATAAAATTATGTTCTTATATTTATTATAAATACAATTATACACATTAAAGTATAATTACTTTTTAATAAATTTGAAGCCTAGGAATAAAAATGGAATAACTCATAAAGTTTTATAAACAAATTTCTAATAATTATTAAGTAACTCATTAATTTCTGTAAAAACTGTTTTTATAACGAATAAACTCCAAAAAATAGATTGTAATTTTCTAGACTTACCTCATACCAAAAGTTGACTTTTTCCTAAGGTTTCGGTAAAATTGAGGTGCTCCTAGCATAGCTTCAATAAAAACAGCAAGAAATCCTATAGTTTCTACTATGATAAATATTTCTATACAAAAATATATCAGTATTCCCATCATGGCAGTAAAGGTAGCCATAAATTCTAAGTAGCTTAAAAAATCTGTCCATTCCCAAAAATATCTTGCATCAAAATCTGAAAGAAGAAATATATAAATACTATTTTGTAGCATGAAAACAGTCCTAAAGCAGAGGTTAGGAAACATTTTACACTAAGAGGTATATTTTATTTAACCAAAATATTAGGTAGCAATGTGCAAATAAAAAAACTTATGTAATTCTTCACGGCAAACTAACTTACACACCAAAGGAGAATGATATATGGGAAAGAGACACAATTAACAATTTTTAAGTTTGGTAGTAAGAGTATAAGATACATTTTGCATTCAAAGAAACAAATAACAGCTCTCAGATGTTCCTTAGAGGAAGCAGATTTCATATGCCTATTTTAAAGGATATAATAATTTTAAGAAATCTTAACCCTTTGCATGTGAGCAATTCAGCTAAATCTTACAGCAAGAATAAATTTTTGAGCCTCTTAAGTAATATATAATTTATTATTTAAAAACAAAAATTATAATTAAAATTTAAAAGCCTACAGTTTTTAAGGTTTATTCTCAATATGATAATTTATTAATATAACTTTCAGTCATAAATTATTTATAATTTTCAAGTGTATGATACTTTTTATAACATGTTGTATACATAAATGCATTTCCTAGCTGTCTATTAAATTACTCGTAAAAATTAACTAAACTACTCATATGTGATACAGAAGTATTAGATCAAACTGACAAACAAGACTGATCAGGCATGCTGTCTTTCTCAAGAATTTGTTAGGAATTACTTAATGAAAGATTTTTCACAATTAGCTGCAGTTTAATTAATACGTTCTGCAGAGTAATCAATTAAATTTTGCCTATTTAATGAATGAATTACAAGACATACAGCACTTATTATACATTATGCCACATGTGAAGCACCTGATATTGCTAACTGGCATTGTAACATTCATTTTTATAGCCTCTAGTTATGCAGATTATTTGTACACACTTTAAGATATTCCCTCAATAAGAAAAAAAAACTGATGGCAGGCTTTCTCTTTTAGTTTAAAGAACTGCTGGTGTTTAATGCTGAGTGTGAAAATGTTATAGAACAAATAAAACAAACAAAAGATTTACACACACACGTTTTATTTTAAATTTGATTTATTATATTTATTCATTCAAAATTATCCTGTGTAAAATTGGTTGATGATATAAGAAATAAGATGCATAATTTAAGATGTCTGCAATTATGTTCCTAGTAAATGATAAATCTGTAAAAGAATTGCCAGGTATACTTGGATTGTTACTTAATACTTGGATAGTTATTCATTGAGAATAAAATGTTTCATAAAATCTAATGCGTATTTTTTTCATTAGATGTCTACATTGAAATCCCTCATCATAATAATAGGAATGTCTGTACCTAAGTATCTCTTCATCGATCTATAAAGTTGTCTCAGAATATTTCATCAATGCAATAAACAAGACCATCTTCAAATCTCCTGAACTGACAGCTGGATGAATATATACAGATGTTAAAATAAATCTTGATTGTCCATTTACAATTACAGAAACCTTACAAATATCGCCTGCTTCTGAATCTTGCAATCATTAAATTGTGTAATGATGTCTTGGTATTTACAATATTCCTGTTATTTCAAATACTATTAAGTAACAAAATACTGTTCAGCAATGAAAATCCATTACTTTTAGGAAAACAATATGTCAGCCAAGCAACACAGACACAGCTCTGAGGTTGATGTCATATGACTTTTAAACAGCAGATGGGATGCGAATTCCCTTCAGTATTCCAAAAATACCATAGATCTGTGCTTCTCAACCACCTGTCGCAAGAAATATTTGCCGGTCGGGGAAATATCCAGCTATTTGTCCAAAACCCGAAGCATCATCAGCCGACAACTGATATTACAACAGCACCTACATTACAATAACAATAGTTTACTAGTTTAGAAAATAAAATGATTGATGATGAAAAATATAACAAACTGGCAACTATGTACCTAACCGCTTTTCATAAATTGCCGTGTCGTACACTTAGTAATTGTTAGTGTGTTTCTCTGTCTGCCTTGAGTATTGCTGATTCCTTGAACGCTGAATATCTATTGTAGCGTTTAAAGCATCTTAGGTTAGGTTTCGCTTTTTATCTAGCTTACATTCTTCTGCACGCTTGAACAAGTGCATAAGTCATATCATAATCAGCATAAGTTCTTAATAACCACTGAATTTAATACTGTGCTATAACTACTATTTTTTTAACTTTAGGTAGATTAAAAATCAATAACCATGATGAGTAAGAAGGAAACGAAAGGCACATTACTAAATTTTGTGCGAAGAAAGGTTTCTCCAAAGCCAAGTCCATCCCTTCGAATACAGACGAAGGTGAATTTAGTCCACAATCTCCCAAAAAAAGAAAAAGCTTTGTAAGGCACTATATTGCTGACTATTTGAAATATGATTTTGTCCTTTGGCCAGAATCAGAATAAAATTGTCTAAAATCTGAATGTGTTGTTTGTAGAGATGTTCTTTCCAATGAAAGCATGAAACTTTCCAAGCTTTTGCCGCATTTACAAACGAAGCAAAAACAAATGGAAAGCAAACCCCTGGACTTTTTCCAGAGAAAAAGTTTGGAGATGAAAATTCAAAAGGATGCTTTTAAAAAATGTTTCTTAGTTGATAAATCGCTCTGTCAAACTGTATTATGAAGTGTTGGGCCAATCTGCTGCAGATAAAATGAAAACTTTGTCCAGTGATACTATTGGACGAAGAATATGTGAGTTATCATACAACATAGAAAGTCACTACTGCACTTCGTAAATCGAAATGGTTTGCTTCCAAATGGATGAATCAATTGACCTCTCAAATAGTGCCATATTATTATGTTATGTTTGTTATATTGACTATAATATAACAAACATAACATAATAATATGGATATGACTCCAATCAATTATATTAGAGAAAAATTGATGTGCTGTATCAAACTACCATCCCAAACAACCAGTGTTGAAATATTTAAGACAGTTAACAATTACATTGAAAGTAACTCCACTGACTGGAAAAAATGCATCGGTTTTGTGTACTGATGGCACTGCTGCTATGACTGGAAGACATACAGGTGCTGCAAAGAGAATAACAGACGTAGCATCAGAAGAATTAATAGTCACTCACTGCATTATTCATCATGAACATTTAGCAGCAAAGAAGTTGTCCCCACAACTAAATGACATTCTTCTGGAATCGGTAAAAATTGTAAATTTTATCAGAAGAAACGCCTTAATTCAAGATTGTTTACAACTTTATGTCAAAAAATGAGATCAGATCATGTACAATTATTGTTGCATGCTGAAATACGCTGGCTATCCAGAGGAAAAGTCCTTAACCGGTTGCATGAGTTGAGAAATGAGGTACAATTATTTTTAAACAAGAAGAGACCATCATTGAGCAGACACAGATTGAGCAGCCTTGCTTTCATGCCTATCAAGACATATTTTCACTGATAAACTAATTTAAGTCTTCAAAGTAAAAATAATACCATTTTCAACTTCTACAATAAGATTAATGCTTTCAAGAAGAAATTGAAACTCTGATACGCACGTGCAGAAGAAAACACTTTTGATATGCTTGCTTCTTTCTTTGATTACATTAATGCTAATGACATAGATCAGAAGAACGTTACCAGCATAATTTTGGAACATTTAAATGAACTTTCTATGGCTTTTGATCAGTATTGTCCCCCAGAAGAAGATGTGTGTTCAGGTAATGTGTGGATAATCAATCCATTTACTGATAATTACAATAACAATCTTACTACAGTCGAGGAAGCAGAACTTATTGAACTATCTTCAAATCTAGGACTTAAATCACAGTTCAGTTCAGTAAATATATATCAGTTCTGGATAAAGACTGCAACAGAATACCCCAATCTTCATGCAAAGGCGTTGAAGATTTTATTGCCTTTTCCTTCAACTCATTTGTGTGAAACTACATTTTCGGCTATGACTGTTATTAAAACGAAACATCAAAATTGACTTGCTCTTGTGTCTGCTCTACGTATTGCTGTAACTGGTTTAATGCCTAAGATTGACACTTTAGTCAGCAACAGAGACCAGCAGCAATTTGATTGATTTTATTTTTCATTTCCTTTAATATGGTAAATTATTTTTTGCTTAATTTATATCTACCTATGCTGTTTACATTTCGATTCATTGTTGTTTTTGCTAATATATTAATTAAAAAAAATAAATACATCATTCATATTGGAATTTAAGTTAAGTTTTGGTAGTTTTATTCTCAATGCAATATTTTAAGTAAGTTGAATGTACATATATAAATTATAACAAAATGCTTTTAAAATTATTTTTGTCTTCATGATTTATTTATGTGGAAAAAAAAATGTGCCAATGGGTCGAATTATTAAACTTACCGGTCTATGAGAACGTACTGAAATATTTTACCGGTCCTTGGAGTAAATCCAGTTGAGAAAACTGCCATAGATGATATAATTATCACAAATGCAATTTAACTTAGAATTTACCCATTGCATATAACTTTACAATCACTCCCAATGTTCTGTTACTCTGAATGACCATAGGCTTTCCTGATTATTACTGAAGCTACTTGAGTGCTTTTTTTCCTTCACTGTTAGAGAATAACATATAACTCTCATCTATAATGCAATTTCAGCATCAGAATCACAACATACTTTTCAAAAAATCACTTCCTGAATCATTTTCCCATCAGTCAAAAATAATTTATGTTCCATCATTGCTCTTATCTTGAGGCAAATTATTTGCAATTACATTTTTCTTATCCAATTATTTTAAGGTAATTTTTGATTATCTGAAACCTCAACAAAAAGTCATGAACTTGTTGCCAACTCGTTTTTTTCTTTTCTTTTTTTTCTTTTTTTCTTTTTTTTTTTTTTTTTTTTCCAAGCTATTGTGTAAAAGGCCACAACCATTTTCAAAATGGCAGCACACTAAGAAATTCATACAAGAATAATAAATCAACAAAATTAAAATTGAAAGAAACATTAGCAATAGTGCACTTTTTGAGAAATACATAATTTT